ATTATGAAAAGTGCCAAAATTAAGGCATTTTAAATAATAATAAAATAAAATTTTAATTGTCGGCATAGATAGTAATCTACGCTTTGATGGTCACGTAGCTTCTTTAATCCAAAAGTCGTTCTATAAACTTCGGATCCTCTACGGTCATAAAGATGTGTTACACACAGCTATTAAGTTAAAACTGTCTAACATTTCATATTGTAATGTAGTTTACTAGTCTGCTTTACTTCACAAAATTTTGCGAATTTAATTTGTAAAATTGAATTGAAATTAGGAGGAACTTAGATAGGTCCTTGCGTAATTATCAATTATTCAATTCAATTATTCAATTCAATCAATTATATGTTTATTTTAAATTCTGTCAAATGGGGATTTTCCTAGATCCTACGCATTCGGTTGAAAACGAGTTATGTCTTGGCATTACGGAAAACTAACTATTTTTTTTTAAACACCCAAGATACGGACAAACAGCAAAGAAATTCACCAGAAGCTGCCTTTATCGCATTTGGTTTGAAAATTGCAAATGCGAATTTCTCTTGGTAAAAAAAGTGTAAAACATGAAACTTTTTTTTCAAATCTACATACCTACAACACTAAGGCCCAAAAAAGTTAGGAAATTTCAAATGCACGAAAAGTGCCATACTACAATTTGGTCCAAAATTGTTCTTGAAAATGGATTTCCGAATTGCCAACTTTTATGCAAAAACCTCGATCATTTTAGGAATTATTTAAAGAAATCATAAATTTTGGATTTTTGGACTAAGGTAAGTTTCGTCAAATCGTAATATTGTTACCCAAAAAATCTCATATTGTGCCATACACCATTACTTATGGGTCACCCTGCAATGCAATGTGGCTTCTTCAAAAAAAGAAGAAATTATTGGATTTTTCTATCATTTTGAAATGTTCAAAAATTTATTTAATTTAGAAAAAAACTTAAATTATTAAAGGATGCTAAATTTTTTAATTTTGAAAATGACATAAAATGGGAAATTATGTAGTCCCTTTATCAACAATTATAAATCGATAGAAGCAAAACCAAGTTATTTGCGCTTTAATCGAGGAAAAATTATTGACAGACACCAATTGGATAGTGGTAATGTGATACTACATATTTGTTACCATTTATTGAAAAACCTTCCGGAAATGTGGGTTTTTGTGTACAACACTAGCACCACCTTGTTTTCTTCTGGGAATTTGCCCAATCACCCTATTTATTATCTTGACAATGGTGGACGCATTTGAGTTACTTAATTTTTTAAATAGCGTTTGTAACGAACCACCACTGCACCGATGCCATTATCTTAACCGCAACGCTTTAAGACGGCCCGACGCAAAAAAACCCTTTGATCCCGCTCGGACCCCGGCACGTCACGACGAGTCGGATTCCGACGACACAGGAGTCGTTGTTCGACGGCGTTACGCGACGGACGCGATTTTTCGTAATCTGTTCAACTGGACATCGTGTTTTTTCAACGTTTTGTGAACAAAATAGTGTTTCTTGCTCCCGGTTGCCGATTAAGGACTAGAAATACGCAAGAATAATTACGTGTTCGCGCCGAATGCCAAAACTCGAAAATTTTGTTTCCATTGACTGAGTGAAGAACAAAACTAACTTTTGTGACTATTTCTTTCAGTATTTTGTGCCGACGCAAAGTAACGACGAAATAGTGCCACATTGAGTTCAGAAAGGTCTGGAAAACACACACACACACACACACTTGCAAACAAGAGGAAAAGCTGTAAGTAGATTTGCTTCTATTTTACATTGCACGCTGTTAGCCACGGAAGATCAGTCATCGAATCGCTATTTCCTGCGATCTCGCGACCGTGCGGAAAATCAGCATTCTCAGTTAAAATCAGTGAAAATGACGGACGTAACGTTAAGTGACGCTTAGTTTCAAGAACTTTTGAACAGATTAACCGTAAATTCACAAACGCAAGCACTAGATGTGCTCCGACATTGTCAGGAAACTTCTCGCAATGTTCATCTCGGTTCGACGGTTCAAAAGACTCTGACGTAAATGCTTTCATAGACGCGATTTCGATCTATAAAGACTGCGTACAAATTTCTGACGGAAACGCTTTGAAAGGACTTCCGATGTTGTTTGATGGTTTTGCCGCGAAGTGGTACCAAGGTGTAAAACACACAGTTTCTGATTGGGATGAAGCTTTAGGGTTACTAAGAACAACTTTTGGTCCTCAAAAACCACCACATCGTGTTTACCGCGAATTATTTGCAAAAGAACAAGATTCAACTACGCCGACCGACGTTTTCGTGTGCAAATCTCGTTCGATTTTAGCTCAGCTACCACCGAATACTTTAAGTGAAGATGTTCAACTCGACATGGTGTACGGATTGTTAAACAGAAAAATTCGGAAAAAGATTCCTCGAGATAAAATCGCAACATTCACTGACCTACTTAAACAAGCGCGGTTAGTTGAAGAAACTTTCGATCGTGAACTTGGTGACAATTTTAAGCGCGTTCGTTGCCAATATTGTAAAAATATCGGCCATTCAAAAGACGAGTGTCGCAAATTACAGTCAAAACATGTGAAAGAAAATGCTCCGTCAAAGCAAAACACGCAAACAATAACCGCATCTCAAAAGAGTTCGCAATCATCCACGTCAACAGCACCCATCACTGCAACTACCCCCATAACGTGTTACGGTTGTGGAAAGCCAGGATTTGCTCGATCAAAATGTCCGGAATGTAAGCCGGTGGAGACTGCCTCCGTTGATTTTTCGTCAGTAGACACACTGATTAGTCCACGACCTCGTCCGGTACTTCTAGTCAAAATCTTAGGACACATTGGGCAGGGAATTGTTGATACGGCAGCCAAACAAAGTGTTGCTGGTAGTACGCTCTACAAGCTATTGCTGGAAAAAGGTCAACAGTTTTGCAAAGAAGAAATTTCAGTAAAGCTACCGGACGGACAAAGCAAGAAGACTCAAGTGCTCACAACGTCCGTAGAAGTAGATTTGAACGGAAGAAGAGTTCAAACTAAATTTATTATATTCCCCGAAGCAGACAATCGAACACTTTTCGGAATCGATTTTTTGAAAGACATGAAGCTTAGTTTTGATCTTCACAATGATGAATGGACTTTTGCCGATCAGCCCGAAGAAAAGTTGCCACTGGACTATGAGAGTTCATCACCACTGCTGTCAAACACAGTAATTGAAGCATCATCGTTGGAACATTTGCGATCAGACGAGGGAGTAATGTTGACAGATGAACAGAGAGGGCGCCTAGATCAACTCTTGACAGAACGAAAGGATACCTTCCGTTTGGGGGGAGAACCAACCCCTTACGCTCGACATTACATCAACACGGGAAACCATCCACCAATGGCCCTTCCACCCTATAGGATGTCGCCACAAAAGAAGGAAATTCTGAAACAAGAATTGGACAGACTCTTAGCAGAAGGAATTATTTAAGAGTGCGAAAGCCCTTGGGCTGCACCCGTTGTTTTAGTACCGAAGAAAGATGGCGGTACACGTCTCTGTACTGATTACCAGAAGTTAAATACCGTGACTGTAAGCGACTCGTATCCGCTTCCGAGAATCGACGACTTACTTCACGCCGCAAAACGTACTCTACATATGACGACGATTGACCTACGATCAGGTTATCATCAGATAAATGTTGACGAAAATGATCGAGACAAGACAGTGTTCGTTACGCCTTTCGGGACTTTCAGGTATTGTCGCATGCCGTTTGGATTGAAAATGCGCCTGGGACGTTTCAGCGCCTAATTGATCGTTTTCGAACCGGACTTGGAGAAGTAACGCTTCTCGCCTAGCTTGATGATTTGATAATATTGTCGCCAACTTTTGAAGATCACATTAAAGACTTGAAGCTAGTCTTCGATAGACTTGACCAATTCAAACTCCGTGCAAATCGCAAGAAATGTGTCTTCGCGTGTACACAAGTCAGATACCTGGGACACCTACTCATACCAGACGGAATTGCCGTAGATCCAGAGAAAACTGCAGCGATGTCACAAAGACCTCCTCTACGTAATGTCAAAGAAGTCCAGTCATTCCTGCAAACCGCCAGTTGGTACAGACGGTTCATCGAAAAGTTCGCCGAGATATCTCGACCATTAAGCAACTTGACGAAGAAACACGCTACTTGGCAGTGGACCGCAGAAGAACAGACTGCGTTCGAGACATTAAAGCAGGCACTAGTATCTGCACCTGTGTTACAACAATGCGGCGAAACCAAACCGTTCACAATCAGAACTGATGCCAGCAATTACGCTCTTGGAGCTGTACTCTTACAAGGTGAAGCTGCCGATGAACACCCAATCGAATACGCAAGCAGACTGCTCTCATCTGCCGAAAGGAACTACTCCACTTCAGAAAGGGAAGCTTTAGCAGTAGTATGGGCACTGAACAAATTTAGAGGCTACATAGAAGGCTCATCTATCGTAGTGCAAACCGATCATCAACCTTTGAGATGGTTACTCAATCTAAAGTCACCCACAGGACGTCTAGCGCGGTGGGCTTTGCAAATTCAAGGTTATGACGTAAAGATTGAATATTGACCAGGCAAACGGAACGTGGTAGCAGATACAATATCGCGACCGCCTTGCGCACATGATGAACAAAGGACTTGCGAAATCTGCATGGTAACGATCGAACTGCCGCATCTTAGCGCCGAAGAGATAAGAAAAGAGCAACTAAAAGACCCGGAACTCGAAAAAATAATCAAGAGTTTCGAGTCAACAAATTCAGAAGATATTGCACGATGGACAGACCGTGGATATCTAACATCTCAGGGAGTTCTGTACAAGTATTCTTCAGAAGAAGAGGAAGAAGAAGCTCAACTGGTTGTCCCTAGCCACGAGAGGGAAAAGGTTCTCCAAGAGTATCACGACTCACCAAGTGCTGCACATTATGGTGTTGAGCGAACTTTACAGCGAATAGCCAAACGATATTACTTCACCGGAATGAGGCGATACATAGCCGAATATATAAAGAATTGCTCAGAATGTCAGCGATACAAGTCATCGAACCAAAAGCCAGCAGGATTATTACAAACACCTTATATGCCCAACGTTTCGAGACACTAAGCATCGACCTTTTTGGACCATTGCCCGAGGGACCACATGGAGAAAAGTGGACCTTCATAGTCGAAGACAACTCATCAAAGTGGGTTGCGTTATTTGCCTTAAAGAGAGTCACCGCCGAAGAATGCGCACGGACTCTCATCGACGAAGTATTTTTCCGGTATGGTTTGCCTAGAAAAGTGATTAGCGATAACGGTGTACAGTTTGTGTCAGCCGTCATGCAACAAGTATGCTATATACTAGACATCAAGGAAACGCTTATACCATTGTACCACGCATCAGCAAATATGGTTGAAAGGAAAAACAGAGATCTCAAACCAAGACTAGCAATGCTTGTTAAAGAAGACCATGGTTCATGGCCCGAGAAACTGGCGACGATCAGATTCGCTATGAACAGCGCATGGAATGAAACAACTAAGCACTCTGCTGCTTACCTTACCTTTGGGAGAGAATTAAGGACCCTCGATGACATCAACAAAGATTTCCGCGTAATAGCAAATACGGACAATTTCGTACCACAGATCGCCCCTTATCTTCAGAAAATTGCAAGAACATGGAACGAAGCTAAAGAAAGCCACGAAAAGCACCAGGATCGACACAAGCAGTATGCTGATTCGAGAAGATCAAACCCGCCAACTTTTCAATTAAAGGACAGAGTTTGGGTTAAGACACATGCATTGAGCAACGCAGCCAAAGGCGTGACAGCCAAATTTTACCCGAAACGAGATGGCCCCTACGAAATAATCAGAGTTGTATCACCCACCAGTTATGAAGTTGCCAGTCCAGACGACTTGAAAAAGACCCTTGGAGTGTATCATGTCTCCTCGTTAACTCCTGTAAATTCCGCTGAGGACGAGAAAGCAGTCGTTAGTTTGAAGAGACGAGGACGACCACCAAAGAAGATATCTGGTTCCTCCTCGAGCCGAGTTCGAAACTAGGGGGGGAGAGTGTAACGAACTACCACTGCACCGATGCCAGTATCTTAACTGCAACGCTTTAAGACGGCCCGACGCAAAAAAACCCTTTGATCCCGCTCGGACCCCGGCACGTCACGACGAGTCGGATTCCGACACAGGAGTTGTTGTTCGACGGCGTTACGCGACGGACGCGAATTCTTTTCTTTTATCTCACGCAATTGTTAAAGACACGCAATCTCAGTAAAATAGTAAGAAGTCTGTTCCGTGTTTTCGTGCTACCCACTTCACCCCGAGAGGACCCCGTTCTCTTACACGTTTCAATTTCAATTTTCAAATCATTCTAGCGCGCATGTTAAGTTTGACAGAAATCCGAAACTTATTTTTGATAATGGGTTGCATGGGCTAATGTAAATTAAAATAATAGAGAAAAAAGAAAAACGGACGACTCTTTTTGGATTATCTTTTTGGGTTGTTATTTAGTTCTGGCATCACTAACCATCCAAAGTTAGGAATTATAGACATTTATATGATGCTGAACTTGAATAAAAGTGTGACAACGAATCCTTCAAATTTATACATTGGACATTCACATAAATTTATTCATATAGTTAGAGCAGAATATATTTATTAAGAAATTCAACATATTCATGTACATCTGGAAAATCCGTTTTTTATATTACAACTGTGCTTGAATTTTTCACCGGTGCACAGAAAATATTTATAATAATATAACTTTAAAACGGCAGAGAAGTTTATTATGTGCTGTGCTTACAATTTACGGTTAGAATCAAACTGACCTGTCCCTTGCTACTAAAAATTTTGACTATGAGATGGACCATTTAATGGTCATATGCACATGTCATTTGAAATTTTGATTTCAACCAATAAGATCTAGCGTGGCTCAACAACCAACATGACCGCTGACAGTTCGCCAATTGGTCATGTTTGAATTTAGATGTAGTATTTTTATGGCAGTATTTGCAGAAAATGTCATTGTCCCTGGATTGTTAAAGCAGAAAGAAGTTGCACCGAGCGCGCGACGTTAGCGAAAACATTTTGTTATTTTACATGAAGTTGTTTTTAGTTACTATGAGGTTGTTCGGTTAATTTAAGTTGATTTCCTACTTTGAGAATTTGAAAAAGTTGGTCGCATAGTTTCTGTCTTGTTAAGCCCGCCAAAAGAAGAGATTCTGTGATGTGAAATCGACCCCTCCAATCTTAACCACGTTTCATTTGTTTCAGCAATATCACGAAATAAATAATAATGAATATAACTATATAACCAATAACGAAAATATCGATCGCCATGACCAGATTATATTCCCGAAGATTTCGTAGCCCAAAAATGGTATTTATGAATAAGTACTGTCGGATCCAGCCATATGTTTATTAAGTGAAAACTAAGTTTCATTTTAGTTCTAACAAAGAGGGTACGTCAGAAGACTACTAGAGGCTCGACTGTCTCTTATTTAAATTGTAAAACGTTTCGCGGAGTACTTATAGATGAAGCGATAGTGGTACCATCTCTCTTCGGGCGCTCGAACTGATTAGGCCGTGCTAGCACCGATAGATGGCGCGATAATGGTGCCATCTCTTTGCTGGTATTGATTCCTTCGGGTTAGGACGAATAGAGGGCGCGATAGTGATGCCGTCTCTCCTTCGATGCTGGAATGATTAATTCGATATTCCACCGATAGATTGCGCAATAGTGGTGCCATCTCTCATCAGATGGTCGAACTAATTAGTTCGAACGGGCACCACGAGATGGCGAGAAAACGAGAGCGTACAACTTGATTATTTATTATTGATTTATTGAATTATCATAAAAAAAGGCACACCTTGTTCAGAAAATTTTTATTTTACATTATAAAAACACTCATATACCATCATCTTCTTTAGACTTTTCAAAGTAAAAAGCGAAGAAAACAGGAACCTATGCCTGCCAAAAAATAAATTATAAAATTAATGAGTACCAGGGCAGAGTAAATCTAAGATCAAAAACTAATTATTATTGTATTGTATTGTATGTTTGGCCAGTGAAAACGCGTATTTTCATATACCCTTGAGGAATAGAAACTTCCACTTCCTGTAAGGTACGGTTTCTGTTTAGTACACATACACCATTTCACGTTTCTGCTGTTTGCTGCCTTAAGTACGCAGTGAACTGCGCAGCTTCATTCAGAACTAATAAATACAAAATTAACTTGATAATTTAAAAAAAAAAGTGAAAAACATGTTTCTTCTGCTACAACAAATACTATTAACTCCTAGGTGGATTCATGCTGAGGCTGTTGTTCGACCCTGCGCAACATAATTATTAAATTTAGTAACTGAGTTCTAAGTTTGCTTCACTCACTTAAAAAGAAGAGCCACGTTTGGATGTCTAAAATTGTGACTGCATACTCCACAAACCAACTGGCCCGAGTATTTCGGTTGCGAATAATTTTTTCGCCCATTTTCACGAATCATAAATGAAACGATGTATGACGGCATCGCTTTTCCGCCACCAAAGCCTACTGCCTTAGCGCACAGAACACCACAATATCTTAGATTTTGTGATACATGATTTCTTCAACTTTTTAGAAGCAATGTGCGACTTTGCTAACGGGCACTCGGCCGTTACGAACAGCGTTGGCAGATTTAGCTCAACTCAGATACAAGTTTAAAATAGAAAAAGAGCAACTTCCTTTTCTTTACTAAATAAAACAAATGAATTGTATTAATGTTTATATTTAAACAATTGGTAATCTGGTTTCTGCCTTCTGGAGGGATAAAATTGCACTTTACGCGACGAAATTTAAAAGAAAATCAAAAAATAATGTATGTATATTTTCGATAAATGAAACTAGGGTAAACATCAACGAAAAGAAAATTAGTGATGAGATACGTAACAAGCCTAAAGAATTGTTATTGCAACTTAAAATTAACTGAACTCCTTGCTTGGTGTCGATATACCCAACGCCTCCTCATAGCCCGAACTCGACTTTTTCGACTTTGATTTCCCTGAAAGAAAAAAAAACGAGTGGTCTCAGCGACATGTCTTGCGCGTCACGCCCACGCACCCTCCTTGTCTTTCGACTTCTTCTTCTTTTCTTTCTTTGCTTTGGCCTCCGTTTGCTCCACCTCCTCCGCGAAACCCAACAAATCGGCCACCTTCTGCTTCTCTTTCTTCTTTTCCGACTTGCGCTTGGTCCCCTTCTCTTCCTATAACCAGAACGTTTAACCCCTGCCCCGGCAGCTGAAAACGCAATACTGAACCTTCTTTTTTAATTTTTTCTTCTCCTTCTTCTCCTCCTTGTTCACTTCGACGTCTTTATCAGTCTCTTTCTCCGCCGCGCCTATGGGGGGTCTAAACGCACGCGTTAAATTTCGAAATGCATATAACCTCAAAACTTACAAATCCAGGTCGATGTCCAATGCTCTATGTGGGTCATCAACCTTGCGATGGTCGCTGTCCGAATCGGACAGGGTGGCTCCCTCGGGCAGCTCCAGGTCCCTCTTCACTTGAACACTCTCAGTCACGTTATCCTCCGACGAACTCTCCGACTTATGGTGCTTCTTCTTCTTTTTCTTGCTCTTCTTTTTCGATTTCTGCTTGTGCAACGCGAGGTACTTGTCCGAGCGTTTCTCGCCGACCACCTTCAGCGGCACCTTCAGGCTGAGCTCGGCGACTGCAGGGACACCGTTCTCGTCGTTCTCGCCGCTGCCGTTGCTGCTCCGACCGGACGAGTGAGTACTCTTCAGGTAGTGCGGATTGTTTTGCTGCTCATACTTCCGCGCCTCGCGGTTCTGCACCAACCAAAAACCGGTTTAGTCCGGTTAAAAGAATGTCAGTTTTGCCCAATCTACAGCCATTTCGTTTCAAGTTTGGTCCTGGTCGAGTAGTTCTCGACCAAACGTTTTCACGTAAAATTACTGACATCACTGATCTACTAATTTGGTACCACCTCTGACCCTTGGTCTTAATTTAAAGTGGCCAGTTTAAAAGAAATTGAATTACAAAAAAACTAAATCAATTAGAAAACGACACTTCGCACCATAGATCATGGACCATAGGATAGGACGGACCACAAATATGTTTAAATTCTCCAACAGAAATAATATAATATTATTAACAGGTAGACGGCTTCAGAAAAAAAAATGGATTTTATATTGCACAACTTCTTTGATCTTTGAATAGTTTTTAAAGTTTTCGTTATTCCTTAACACTGAATACATAATATCTAATGCCATAAATATTAATTCTAATTTAATTTTTCATAGCCCAATGAAACTACTTAATAATATTCATTATAACAAGTTTTGTCTTTTACTTATTAATATAAATTTATAATTGGTGCAATAATTAACATAAGAAAATATTAAAAACTAAAAACACGACTTTGGTCTATCGATTCCAAAAAAATGCAGTTGTTTGAGTTATAAAACGTCAATTCCTACGTCATCGATTAGATGCAAAATAAGCCGCTGTTGAAAATTCTGACAATAATCTGTCGACACGCAGCAGGACCAAGGTTGAAACAAAAAATCCCTAACATTTTTTCTTTTAACTGTTGATTTCGTTTCGATTATCTATTTTAAAATCTTAACTCTGAAATTTTGCTATGACAACTTCTTTTATTTGAGACTCAAATAACAAATAATACTCTGTCAAACCCAGCCCAAAACCCTGCCCTCGGTTCTGGCACATTAAAACTTAATTTTGGTAAAAACAGAACATTTTTAATCTGAAGAAATATCAATCAACAAATTTATTTATTTATAAATCAATTATATGCGGTGATATTTCACTAGTTTTGAGGCCCTAAATTTAAAAACATAAAAAAAATAAAATTATTTACGGTCTCCAGTAAACAATCAACAATAATCTATGCAACTATACAATGTACACAACCTATTTAAAGAGATTGTAAATACACTTTGAAGTTATAGCAGAACCTATTGATATTTTTAGCATTTATAACATTTTCTAGAAGCCTATTCAAAGTCTGTATACTTCTAAATAGTGGAGTTTTGTGCCTCTACGTCTTGTGATGGAGGACAATAATTAAGAAGAAACAGTTTTAACAGATTCTTTTTGTGTTCTTTGCATTTTTGTTATTAAATATTTCAAAATATTGTTTCTTCCTCTATAAACTTGTAAGTTGAGCATTTATAAGGGATCCCTAGTGTTCAATTTTTACCTCTCTGTGAAAAATATGTATTGAATTCTTGGGCTGTGGCCAGGGTTGTGTTTTTCATTTTTTTAAATTATCTTTAAATTTCTTCATTTGCGATTCTTTTTCACTTTGCGTGCAATGCGTTTTTTACTATTCACTCACATTATATATGTTGATAATTTCAGTTAGTTCACCAAAATACATAATATTTTCTAGCTTAATTTTCTCATCTACCAACCTACGTATAGTCTGTCCTTATTCTTTGCTTCTTGTATTTAGGCACAGATTTGTTTGCATTAATATACATTAATTTGTGTCTGTGCTATGTCTAAGTTTTTTTAAAATATTCTTCCTTTTTTTGTAGGTACTTATATCAATTAGAAAAAAAACAAAAATGGCGCCATTCAGACGACGCCATGAACCTTTTTCAAAAACTTATAATTTTATTTGGGACATCAAGCGATATTTTTGTAAATAACCATCTTCTTAACCACCATTAAAATAAAAGTAACAGGGAAACCAATAGAAAACTATAAGTTCGCAAATGTCACATGTCAATAACGCAATCAGAACCTCACATTTCAGTTGCAGTTTTCTTATTTGTTCTTGACAAAAGTGTACTTCATTTTATTTAAATAAATATCTAGGTAAAGTTTAGAATGAATCTAAAAATGCGTTTTAAAACAGTACAAAAATCGAAACAAGTTGATTCAAAATATAAGGATGTAGTTGAAAATAAAAAACGGTGTATGAAAACGAAATTGTCTGAAAATTGATAGTAAATCTAGTACTTTCAAATCATCAAAAACTTCGAAGCATTACGTCAATGAAAAAGAAAAATCAATGTCTTCTTATCACTGGGACAAGCCCGGATTTTTAGGGGCTTGATTAAACGATTCACAATATAACAAAATTAGTTAAATATAATAAAATGAATGGCATATAATTTTTTGTTTAAGTACCTTTTAAGTTTAAGCCATTATACAACTATAAAAGAGTTATCTGGAACACTTATAAACAACTTATAAATATCCATTACATTATAACAAGACCTTATATACAATGCTCACTTTTTTCAGTTCCTCCTCGGTCGGCTCGTAGCGGGACTTGTCCAGCTTATCGCCATAGTCGTACTTGTCGACCTTGACGAACAGGGTGTCCATGTTTTCCGGCTCGCTGTCGGAGTCGGTTTCGTCGATCGGCTCGTTGATCCAGGCATCCAGGTCCAACCCTTCCGGCACGGGCACTTTCTTCTGCGCTTTCGGCGCTACCGGGTTCAGTTCGCCGCTGAAGAAGCTCAACAGCTCAGAGACTATACTTTCTTTCCCCGAAGACAGCTCTTCCTTACTAAGTTCCTCCTTGACGATGTTAACGATGACCAAGGTGGTGCTGGCCCGCTCCTGGACTTCCAGCTCGGCCGATTTGATACTTTCGTTCATTTTTTCTAGCACCAGGTCGCACAACTCCACCAACGGGCCGTCGTCTGACTCACGGTCAACCTCAGTTTTTTCTTTCGCGAGGATGTGAGCGAACAACTTTAGAATGTTGTGAAGAAACACGACCTCGATGTGCTGGGGCAGCTTCTTATACTTCAACATGCACCTCAGCGTTTGCTTGGGACTCTTCAATTCGCTGATAGAAAAAATAAAACAAAGACGCTATAAAGAAAAATCATAAAAAATAAATCTTCTATCGTGTTACATAACTTTAGCAAATCGAATGGAATTCTGTTGTGAACGCACCCTGTATATCGTTCGAATAAGTGATGTCAAGTTAATTAAAATAAAATAAAACGAATTTACTGCGAGATTAATAAGTGAAAATTTCCATTTCTTGACATCTATAATAAAAGCAGTGATTTTCTTATTTTCAAAATAATACTTCCATTATTTTTATTTAATTTTATTATTTTGGGGAAAGGTAATTTAAAAAAGTTAAAACATCCGCGACAATACCGCCGTTACAAAGTTATTTTTTATTTGCCAATAAAAGTTGGTGAAAGAATTCGCACTTCAAAAATGTCATACAGTATAATATTATTAAATAAATTTTACATCCTACAGTTGAACTGAAATCCCTTGCATAGGCGTTGTAGAATGTTATAGGCAAAGCTTGTCTTTAGGGATGCATATTTTTGTGTAGGTCTATGTTCGTTGTCTTATATACTTTTTTTATATTAATAAATGGATGCAAACAAGATGCGGTAATTGCAGGTTAAGCGAGGAATTATTACTTCAACTTCGCCTTTTGTGATATATTATAATATTCATATTATTATTAGTAATGCAATCCATTCTAGAATGAACTGAAAATTTTCGTACCTGGCTTGCGAAACGACTAAATAATGAAACTGAGACTTCTTGAGAACCATGTGTAGAACTTGTTCATGTATCCCTTTTTGAAAATAGTGCATTTCCGAGTAGGTTTTGTTAAAAACAAGAACGTTTTGTTATGCAACTACATGCAAATTTGTTTGGCATAGTAGTCATATAGCTATTAGAGATATGGATATGCTGATACTACAGGAACTTATGAAGCAAATATGAAAAACATTTTTAAGAAGGTTCATTCAACATGCGCATGCAGGAGATTTAAAAATCTCGTTTTTAACCAAAGGCAGCTATAATTGGGAACTCTGACTTTCGACCCATAAGACCTTGTGGCCTTCTACAACCAACATGGCCGCTGATAAGTTGTCAATAAATTTGGATGCGGCATATTTAGGGCAGTACTTTCTCAAAATATGTTCAGATCGCTGTTTAGAAAGACAATGGCGCAGAGTGCAGGTTAGTAGGTGAAATGTAGAGGCATGCATGGAAGATTATTCCTTTCGAATATATCATCACCTGTGGAGTGTAAATTTTTTACTTTATAGGGCCACTATTTATATATTTATATATTTAATTAATGAAATTATCCTGTTCATTACATTGTAGAGATAACAAACATACCAAATTTGGAACTTAAATTGTAATGACTATAGTTAAACATATGTAAGAAAAAAATGATGCTTGTAAAATAAATAATTTAAATGTGAAAATTAGCAATGAAGTAATAGAAACTGTGCATAAATTTAAGTATTTAGTATGCAATATTAATGAGACTCTTACATTTTTTAAAAGTAATAAATAAAATAGCAAAAAAGGTTAATTCGTAAGGACCTACATGAGAAATCTTAACCTCTTGGTTAAAACTAACAATTACGAAAGCAATAACTTCCCCACAATGCAACTTTTGGCACTTGTTGAGTTGTGGCATCACTGGATTTGTGACCATTGAGGTTTTGCTATTGCGAAGCCAGTGGTAATTTAGAAATTGACTTAGTAAGTCGCAACCATTTCATTAGAGGATCGAAGAACTGTTAATGCTGAATGGTATACAAGATTTGGTTTGCCTTCGATTCATTAAATAAAAAGAACAGAAACGGCGCACCATTCTCAAAAAGCACGTCAAAAAACTGAAATTTTGAAGGAGAAAACATCAAATAAATAATGTTTTTTTTGTTGTGGTTCCCTATAAAACAAAAGATGCGCGGACAGCGATTTTCATCGCCACAAAAAGCTGCTGAGAACTTTCAAAACCACGTTTCTATTCTACAATGTTAGCTTAATGGCGAATGTTTCGAACAGCAATAAAACACTCTGTTTCGAACTTGTTTATTTCTGTTTCACTTTTCGTTAAAACTTAAAAGGCAATTTTAGAAAAAATAAGGTTTAAGAGTCATATTAAATTATGACAAATATATTGGCGAGTTGATATGTGAAACTACGCAGATTTATTCTGTTCCTAAACATTTATTAAATAATTGTACATTTGTAAGAAAATTCAACAAGATACGGAATTAGGAAAACGGATGTTCTCAAAAATTTGAAAAAAAAAGGTAAGTAAATCAGCCAAAAGGAAATGCTGCAAATTATTTTTGAGGTTCTGGAATGTACACCAGAGGGCCTAAGTGTCGTCTTGGATTTTAAAACCCGCTTTCTGCTAAATATTTTTATAATGATAGTTAAAATGAACACTGTTTTAAAGCTGAGACAAATTCAAATCCTTTTTGTAAGATGCTTTTTACTCTATCTCAAAAAGGTGGTGGGGGTGCTCTAACATTTCCGAAAATAAATGATATAACGGATTTTAATAAACATTGAATCATTAAAAATTGCTTTTTCTAGGCTATCAAGCGTGCTATGAGTGACATGATTGAGATTGAGTACCATGTCATCAGATCGCGGTTTCAGATAATAATAGCAAAAAAAAATAATTTTCCAAAAAAAAATTAAATGCAACAGTATGACGATTTTTACGTCATTAGATACTCAACGGCCCAGTGGAAATGGCATTTCAATATCTTTATCCCAACCTAAAATATGAATAAAAGAATTTAAAACTCAAAAGGAGATATTTTGGTAAGCATCTCGCCTCTAGGCGTTATTATTGTCGTTGGTTTTACAATACCATTTTTATTTGTGAAATCCTTATCTGTTTTTAAATATTGGGTATTACCACTTTATTTAACTAAAAATTACTAAATAAGTACATTACTGACGTTTCAAGTGGAAAGTAGAAAATCCTAAAGGAAATAACGCACCTGCTTTGACAGAAATTATTAGTTCAAAAACATTTTTGGCCGCCCATCAAAAAATGGTTGATCATATATATCGGGTTTTAAAATTCAAGATGGCAACTAGGCCCTCTGATTTTAATACTTCAGAAATAATTTCCAGCATTTTCTCTTGACCGATTTACTTTTCTTTTTTTTTTCAAATTTTTATGAACATCGGTTTTTCCAATATCGTACCTCGTTGCCCTGATACACTGACCTGACAACTGATATATATAAATATCGAAACACAAAATAAATACTAACCATCAGCAAAATAATCTGTTCTATAGGGGATTAAAACAGTATAAAACCTAACCATACTAAAGAATTCTAAAATATCTTTAGATGGTAGCGTAAGCAATATGTAAGGAAAAGAGTGCCTATGTATGCTAGTAAAGGCTCATATTACTTTATTTATTGTTAGTATGTTGAAAGTTTATCTTGTTTTATTTAGACATACCGCTACTTTTGTATATTGTTAGCCAAGTACTATTCATGAAGATTATTAATTAAAGTTCATATTCGCACCACTGCCAAAAAATTATCCCAAGCAATATTTTTTATAAAAAAATATTTTTAGAAAACATCATTAATGATGAAGTAACCACGCATGGTCTATTTCTTATCACTTATGTAATATGGAGGCATTTTCCTCATGCAAATAGAACCTTTGCATTACAAAAAAGAGTAATAAGAATTATAGAGGGGTAAACATAACAGATCTGGCATTAAAAAAACATTAATAACCGGGAGCTTCAACAATACCATGCAGACATATGAATGTTGGATTGCTTAGTTTATGAAAACACCATACATGTAATTATGCAATACTCGTATATAAAGATATGAGATATAAACCCTGAAATTCTCAGACCTGTTAAATCTAGGTATAGCATAAACTATTTTGCTCCTAACTTCTTCAATCAATAACCAAATAATATTAACCACATAGAGTCAATGAGTTTCAAAATAAAAATAAGTTCTCAATTTAAAACATCTTTCTCTACTGCTACAGATTTCTTAACCAATGAAATAAGTATAATGGTTTTTCAATAATTGCGCTTGGCATATTTCAACTTATTTAAATGTGACTGATGGATATTAGAATAGGTTTAAATTAACTAAAAATTATGACCTGTGATTACTTTGTGTCTTGAAATGTCAATAAAAACAGTTTTGTCTACGAAGTTTATGGGGCAATTTTTCCAGAATACCATGATAACTAGTATTTTTGTCATTTGTTCTTCGACCATGACCTTCATTTATTAAATTATGTCCCATCATTTTAATGTAGGCCTAAGCGATATAAAAATGAAAAAGATGTACCTGGCAAATTCTCCCGTCAACCAGGCGGCGGCATATAAAACCTCTTGCATAATGGTAAACTGCGAGGTGGAGGTGTAGACGTCCAGGAGCTGAGCCATCTCAGAGACAGCAAATGCCCGGATCGCCTGCACCCGGATACAGACGTCCATAAGCTGGGAAGCGATCACGTGACCTTGTTTTGATCCAAACTCCAGCTGGGCAAGCTCCACCAGCACGGTAATGTACCACTCGAAATTCGTTATGAACTGGTAGTTGTTCTGGGAGCAAATGAGAATAATTTTACTGAGCAGTTCATCACGATAAGTGGTGCCCTCGGCTTTATCCATGTGAATCATGAGTTTCTTCACAATTTCCATCAAGTTCTTTTTGGAAACCTAAAACAAAGCAGCCATTACAAAAAAATCTGCTATAGCACATAGACCTGACCATTCCATATAACAAATCCAACGCTCTCAATCGAATAGACTCATCTTTGTCTTCCAAACACTGCAGAATTAAATCCTTGTGAGCCTGCACGCTCTTGGGGTGAGTTTTAAGGATTTTTGACATGGCCAACAAGCCGAGATACTTTACTGCAAAGAAAAGGTGAGGAAACCCTCAATTTTCACATGGAAAACTTACAGTTCTGGTCAGAATCCTCAATTAAAATTCTCATCTTCTGTACGCTGAGCTGTATGCTGGCTTCGTGATTAGGCATGCCCGAAGATATGCTAATTAAAACTGCGATGACAGTGTTGACGCACTCATAGAGTAGGCTCATGGCGGATGTGCTAAAATCAACCCTTTACATTGCAGCTCACTTGGTATTCAAAAACATACCTGTGTATCAGGTTTGTAAGGGGCGCTATCAACTTCTTGCCTAGCCTAGGTTCTAAAGGCGTCAGGGCACCAAACTACAGACAACAGGCAAAATAAAAATCAAATATATAAAATGTAAATAATCCAAAATCATTAAACACCACATTTTAAGCAACATGTTACATCAGTTCAAAATCCAGAGCTACCTTGTAATTATATTGATAATTGGACTAGCGAGCTTGAGCCCAATTCTTGAATCCACAAGTGTAAAGGATGCAAACTGAAGATAATTTAATTCAATTGAAATTCATGAAATGTTTGCTAACTTTGCTCACAATTTTTAAGAAATCAATTCAGCTATTTAAAATTTACAAAGGACAACTTACCAATTTAATAATCTTGATTAACATCCAATTATTTGTACTGGTAGTCATCAGTTTGAAAAATACCGGCGCTAAACTTAAATAATTTTTTGGGTTTTTTCTGGCTAATTCGCAAACAACATTGACTGCAGCAGATTGTACACCTAAAACATGATACCATGATAATACTTTTAACAATTCAATATCTTTCAACTTTGGTACCAGGGTCTGGGTCCTCCAGTTTTTCTTTTAGCCTGGGAAATGCAGGCCTTAAAGCTTCAGGATACTTAAGAAAAACTTTATACATCATCAAAACAGCCTTTTTCCTAATGTAAGGTTTTGTGGAACTTAACTAAAATTATGATCACAAAAAAATGTACGAAAACCATAAGCATCCCATTACCAAAGTTAAAATGTCATTTGATAAGTCCCTAGCTAAATCGGTACTGATAAAACAGCTCAGAGAAGTCAAAGCCAAACCTGCTTCATACTGATTCTGAGAGTTCAGTTCCTTCCTTATCATATTTGTGGTAAGCATAAGTAACTGCCCCAAAAAAAAACAGATTACAAAATTATCAACTTCAACTTTTAAATTTTGCATACCTCTGAGTCGCAGTGGAAGGACTGGCTGGCAGCCAGATACCCAATTCTTTTCAGAGTAAATTTACTTGAGCTCATAACTTCAATGATGTTAAATCCAGCCCAAGATATGTCATAGCCAAGCATTTGCAACTAAAAATGTACCCCCTATGAAATAACTGTATTATGAATCACCAGGATCTTACATATGTGAGCTTGGCGATGGCGTTGCTTTTAACGGACAAATTATCTTGTCGGAGTTCTTGTTTTATGTCTTCCATACATTGGGCTATATACTTACTCTAAAAATTGAATTTATAGTGAAAACTAGACTTGACATAACCTCGAATTTGAAACCTCATTTTCCTTATTGTTCCTTATCCCCCGCACCAAATCGGTGAGGTTTTTTTCGAACATCCGTTCGATGTTGCCTTTTACTTTCTTTAAAGCCATTTTTCCTAATATCAGGGCCTACACCACCGAATTGTAAATTCACTCGGCAAAATGCAACGGCTCCAAGACCCTACGGGGTAAAGCATCTGAATGACAATTAGCATAACGCGGTGTTCATATCACAGTCTTTGGCAAAAATCACGGAATTCTTATCAAAATAAACATAAAATAAGATTAATCTGCTATTTTAGCCACGTTAAACGTCAAGCGCAGATTAGGTGCTTTTGTCGTTTCATAGATAGGGAGGCAGTGACGTACTTCTTTTCCTAAAGGTGGAGAATAATCCATTTATAGCAAAACAAATTCAAACTGCAATGTTTGATATCCAAATGTGCTAAATTCTTTTGTAAAAAAGAAAAGTAACTGTCCAAATTTAATACAACAAGGTCGTCATGTTCCATTCTAATTGAATGGAATATTCAATCACAGTCAAACGCCAAAACTTCCTTTCAATATTTGATGTGATTTAATGTACTTATTATCTAACATAATCAATTCTATAATCAAGTTTGATTATTTTTTAATATATAATAAAATAAATAAATACGCCACCTGCGCTAAAGATTTTTCTTAGTATGTATGTATTATGTGAAATCATGCCTTAGGATCGATATCGTAGTAAGAACTAAAAACATGAAGAATGGTCATTTTACCTACTGCAACATATAAAAATTTACATTACATTACGAACAATATAAGCCTGTGTAATAGCTGAAAAAACTAATTTATAGCCACTCATCTGCCATAAAAGTGAAATAATTAGAATAAGAATAGAATGTTGAGCGAATCCTGCAGTTTACGTTCTCTCTAGAAGGTGAAGTTATAACTGTGGTCGTCAAATGTCATCTTGCGGCACAGTGTTACCAAACTGCTATATTTATTCGATTTAACCAGAAAACTATACAAAATCCCAAAATTGTGGTTCTAGAAAACGCCCGCTTTCATGTTTAATAAAAAACTTCAACACTCCCAATCCAGAACAATTTCGCAAATATGCAGTAATAAAATGTACATCCTTTTAGTTTTAATATTTCACTTTTCACTTTAACGCGTAAATCGAACATAATGGGTCAAGTGATTAAAATTAATTTTTTCTACTCCCGTCTGTAAAATACCTAATTACGCACCGATCTAGCGTGCGGGAAGCGTCGCTTTATCACGTCAGTTTCGTTTCCCAAGAATCCGAGCCACTTCGGACATTTCCGGGATTTTACCGCACAGGTTTGCGAGCAATCGGATGTTTTCGGAGATAATTCGGAGAATTTTGACGTTTGTCAATTCTGACAGTCATGTCAGTGAATGTATTCGTGTTTTGCAACAATGTACCCAAAAAGCAACGGTCATAGAAAAAGTATAGTATGCAACGCGTTCGGAAAACTTTTTAACTCACTCCTTTATTAAACACTCGCTTCGCTCGTGGCAAATAAACTCGTGAGTCAAATGCCGTTTACCGCACTTGTTGCATAATATACTATTAATCATTTGAATCATTTGTTATTTAATTTGTATGACAATGTGACAGCAAATTCATATTATATGCCAAAACAATGTGTTTACAGTATATCAGTTGTTGGTACTTAATTTATCATAAAAACAGTATTACTTATGACAGTAGTATAAAGGGGACTCAGCCCTAATGTTATGTGTGCTGTTAGGACCAAACCGAGTCTTGTGTGTTATACAGTTTTGGTGAGAATTCATTCCGGAAAAAGAATTCCTGTGGCTCTGCATCTTCGTTCATAGTGGCAATTTTCAGGTCCATTTGCGCCTCCTCGCTTGATATTGATTTATTAGAAGAGATCATCGCCAAAAGTTATACGTGTCTCGCAACAGCATAATTAAAAATGAAAAATCTCATAAAAGCTTAAATAAAGTACTTAAAATTTTAGTTTAAATATAATTCAAAGCTAACCTAGGACCTGAAGGCTGCAATTCTCATTTAAAATCGTAGCAGGATCCACAATATTAATTATAGGTACCGGTCCCATAAGCCATTAAAAATCGAAGACCAAAATATGCATCAGTTGTCAGCAGAATGAATATAAAGATCCATGTTGGAAATGATCATTGAATCCTTGGCAACTATGCTTGCAGCAACTTGCAATCTTGGTATCTATGACCCCATCTAAAAACGTAAAGTGCAGGATTATCCCGTTTTTTTTTTTAGCACGAAAAGTGTTATCACTTCTCCATCGTCGTAAATAAACGCAAATATAAGCATCTATCTTAGGATGTACTCATGATGTATTACCAATAACTTTTTCATGTATTCTTGTTGGTTATAGAGTCGATAAAATTTGTTGCTCGTAAAAAAGTGCCGGAAGGACTAATCGGTACAGTAAACAAACACAACCGGACTCAATAGTTTTGAAAAATAAGTTAAGGCTAACTATTACTTTTCTTAGTTTTAATAAAATATACGTGTTTACATTTTCGGCGGATGAACAGGGATTATATTGCATTATAAGGAAACAGGAAACAAACCTCCCTTTTGTTGATGAAAAAGAATACGTTAATTTAAATTTTCCACCTATTTCTTAATTGAATTAAAAGATAAAAATATTCACATATATAAATGAGCATAACATATACTTATACTTTTTGTTTAGATATTTCAAAATTTTCAAATGTTTAGATAAAAATTTTGCTTATTTTTTTTGCTAAGTATATTTCTTGTCTGAGGTTTTGAGAATAAAAATTAACAATTAAAATTTATTTAACATTTATCGTATTATACAGTTTTCACGCTTAACAAATGACAAACCGGTGGTATTTGCTTTTCTTTTTAAAGTGTTAGATTTAAAACAAAAATGTACTTCCTAGTATTTAGGCAGTATGTTTTGTAAAAAAATAACGTGCGCCATCTATGAGTGAGTAGCGAAACAACATCTCCAAACTTCGGCCGTTGCCGTGGCAACGTAGGTGGCGGGCGCCATTGCCGCGTTTCAGGCATCGTGCCCTTTAAAACGGGATCCGCGTTCATTTTCTGGCGCGAACCGGCAACGCCGCCGGTGAAAATTGGCGCTTTGTCACCCCCCGCCTCGGCGTGACGCGCCACGAAGTCGATTTCGACATATTTCCCGTCACGTCGTTGCCACGTCGTCCGTTTTAAAAACAACCACGCTAAAAGGGCGTTTGGGTAGAATTTTTTTAAATCGTAATTTAAAAAAAAACCAAATGCCATAAGAGATTCACAAAGAGCTTGGTTTACAGGCCGTTATCATTAAGGTTAAGACAGTGTGATACAACTATTTGCAACTGGTGACATGGCCTATGATATTCGCAAATTTAGCATCATTTGATATTCAACGGCATTTACTACGATTTAAATTGAAATGGCAACGGCGCGATAAAAAACCGGTGCAAATTTTACGACAGAGAAGGACGGCTATGGTTGTGGGGATTCTTGTCTTTCTCTCGTGTTGAAAATTTTCCTGCACCCTGCACCACAAAATAATAAATATGTACAAATAAAAACACAAAACCAAAGAAGCATTAACCAAAACTAAAGTAAGTCGGTAAAAACAACATTATGAACAGTATATGTAAGAAGGGCAATCACAGTAGCGGAAAGGAGCATTTTATACTCTTTTTACACCGCTAATTAGTAGCGTGTTTTTATTATTCAGGCTCGTGTCATCCAGTGCCGGATTTGAATTTCTGCCACTCTTGGGCATTGAAAAAAATGGCGCCCCATCATGTAGTTTTGCTATATCATATTTTTAGAAAAATAAAATATGTAATGTATTGCGAATAATTTATTATGTATTATATACTTCGAGATGACATGAAAAAATATTAGTTTTTGTTCTTAAAGTTTTTAATTTTGCCCTCAGCTTGATTAATAATTATATTATATTAACTTTTTTCACAGGCACACACGCCACACGCCTGACTTTTTGATAATGTTGCGTTTCTTTTGAGTTAATTATTGTGTTTTGGGCTGATAAATAGCCATTGCATTTAGGACAGAGACCTTTTGTGCGTGGTTGTGCTTTTAAAATGGGTGGATGCACAGTTTTGGACTGCATTAACCGAAGTGAGGGAAAAAACTCAGATGTATCATTTCATAGGTATGTAGGACAGATATATTTCAAGAATGTTCAAAATAATTATCTTAAATGCATTGTGTTTAGTTACCATGTCGATATCTATACAAATTTTGCCGCCCTGGGCATTAGTCGACTGCCCTTAGCGTCGGTCGACTTTTACCCCAACAATTGCTGTTTTTCCGGTGTTTTTTTTGGTAATTGTGCAACTATAGATACATAACTTTAAACCTAATTGGTTACCTACGTCAATTAATTGTCACACAGACTTGGGATGAAACAAAGTTATAGATTGTTTCATTCCAAGAAAATACTAGAAATTAATTTCAAGTTTTTAGAATGGCCGCGATCGCATTCTCCAGTTTTTTGAGAAATAATATGCCAAATTCGCTTTAAGAATCCAAATTAAAAAGTATAGAAACATTGAGTGTGCGGCCATTGATAATTTAAGTATTAATATTTTCATTGTTCTGATGTGGCTAAGCAACATCCTATACACTAGTGAAAAACGGATTCCTAACCTATAATAATAAAAGAAATAAAAACTCGAAATAACGTCTCATCTTTGGAAATATTTCTATTAAACATGTCGTTACTAAATCCAAATTTTCATTTTATCAGCAAAATATATTTAAATTTACTGGCAAAATACAAAAAAAAAATTAATACTCATTCCAATATTACCGATCTGTCCACAGAAAATTCGAAATTTTTAAAATGCGCGTGCTTTGGAAAACAAAATAGCAAAAAGTATAATGGTTGTGTTTACATGTCAACCAATATTCAGACTGCAACTATATATAGTATATTTTATTTCGTTCCATGTTTATTTTCAATACATTGACTCAACCATTTGTGTATGATGGAGCATCCTGCATTAAAATTAAAAAATCTTTTATTTTATTTATTTTATTTATTTTTATTTGCGCTGTTGTGGCATTATATGGGAATGGAATAATGGAATAATTATTTTAATTTCTAAAAAATGATTTAAATAAGGATGATGTAATTTTGCAGAAAAATTCCAGAATGGTTTTTTACAAAAAAATAGTACTCTGTCTGCTACCTTTGAGTTGGTAAATTATGTGACAAAAACCTTAGACAAAAGAAAATTGTGGTTCTGATGTCAATCGATATACATAAAGTATTTGACACAGTTAACTCAGATATTCTTTTGCGGAAACTAGATAATATGTGCTTTAAGCGAAAATTCCATATTATTTAGAATCTTGTTAAAATAGGTAAGCTTTGTAGTGAGATATTGGAAAACCATTATGGAGAACCACAAGGTATTTTTCTTTGGACCACTAGTTTATTGCATTTAGGTGCTTAGTTTAAAAATCAGTAGCTCAATACATTTGCGCATGACACACTATTGATATACACGGGAGACCATGTAACCACATAAGGCCCTTAATACATATTTCACATGGCTGTACTCCAAAAAATTAAAAATAAATAATGACAAAATTAGTCAAACTTAATACTAGTCAACGTAGCACATAGTTAAGACAGTTTTTTTTTATTTTGTTTATTTATTTTTTAATTTATTTATTTTATTTCCGAAAATCTTGGATATTATTTCGAAAAAAACGGAATTTAAAATAATGGCGTAAATTCTAAATAATTTCCGGTATTTTCTCCTAGACGCTTTAGTTGTGTAAGTACTTTGCACACCGATCGAGGATAGCTTACGTCACAACGTGTTACGGACGACAAAAATCGTAGCCCGAGTTTCAAATCTTTCACGGGCCGTCGGAAGGGACGGTGAACCGTCGGGGACGCGGCAACGCCGCCTCAAATCGCGCAATTTTCCCGTCAACCCGGGTCGCGGAAAAACAGTCGTCTCTCACGACGGCGACGCTGCTCCGCTTTTTTTGCTCGGTCGACATATCCGTCGTAGAGTGCGGTGCAAATTTCGATCGCGTTGGCCGCGGCGCGAACTATGACGTCGCGGTGACGAAGGGCCGTCGAGCAGCATCCACCCCGCGAACGTTTCGGGCAGAAAAATCAAAACAAAAGGACGAGCGCTCACGCACACGAAAGCATCGCCAGAAGCCGTCGGTTTTTTACAATTTTGCCTTATCGTCGAGTTTGCCTTACACCGCTGTAATATTTCGTAATTTTCCGCGCGATTTCCCTTACTCGGTTCGCGCTTTTCATCGAATTTTTCCGTAGCTACACGCGCGCGCTTACAAGAAACACGATTTTTTACTGTTTATTGTATATATATAATTGATCGCATTGGCGGCGGCATGCAGGCCTAAGGGTGTGTGAAAACTATGCCAGTTAGGAGAGGTCTGGTTGCTCCGAGGACGACTCTGATCGAGACGATCATAAGGAAATTCGACACAGACAGTAAGTCCGCCACCGTTTCGTTTCTATTGTGTTCCGTGGACGTTTTGATTGACTCGCGCACACTTCAACCTCTTTTAAGGCGAAAACCCCCTCTTAAAAAGAAAACAGAAAATAAGAAACAGCTCCTGTCTACTTTCACGACTACACTTTTTACTTAAATCGCGTTGGTGACCGTAATTGGAGTGTTTTAACGTAAATCGGCTTACATGTCAAGGGCTCGATTTTTCAGAAACATCTAATGGTCTAAACCGCCCAATTAGTACGTAAATTTTGCTATTCGTTACTTCCTTTAAGAGCAAATTGTCGAGTAAAGTTGGTCAAGGTCATCAATATGCTTTGGAGACTGATATATTTTATTAAAATGCCCTATACTTGTTGATGAGACTGATTAATAAATCATTTTTAAATGCTTTGTATCAAATGTGTTGAAACATGGTCATTTCCGAATAAAATTTCTGTTTTTTATTCTTTTGCTTATAAAAAGGTAAGAATTCCACAATGGATGAAAAAATAGTGATCCATTTAAAAAAGGAGACCCCATATTTAAGAAAGGTTATTTACTTTCTACCTAACTACCTACCTACCTTTTTACTTTCTAAAGGTTATTTACTTTCTACCGTTCTATTAAAGATGAGTAATCTTATACTACAGTAATCTGTGACAATCGTACATTACTCTCGTTATAATGATATACTTTGGTTATCTTGTTATTCTCTCAGTCTGTGTTTTGGATATTTTTTATGTTATTTGGTTAATCTGGTGGTTGTATGAGCAACTCTGTTGAATACCGCCACCTACTTTATAAGTTTTTTAAAATATTCTGTCAACATGAATAAAGACATATTATTATTATTATTATATTTACTACAGAAATTTATGGACGTTTGCGTGCATTTTTCTCAAAATCCACTACCCGATTTTAAAATGAATTTGTTCTATATTTTAGAAGTTGACTGTATATCTTTTCCTTTAAATAAAATTTATATAATTAAAAATTAATTTTTTTTAAAGTCTACTAAATAGCTTTGTTGTTACTTCCTTTAAGAGCAAATAGTCGAATAAAGCTCGCCAAGGTCGTCATTATGCCTTAGAAACTGATACATTTTGTTAAAGTCCCTTATGGCGGCTGATTAGACTGATTTGTATCAAATGTGTTGAAACATGGTCATTTTCGAATAAAATTTCTGTTTTTTATTCTTTAGCTCGTAAAAAGGTAAGAATTCGACAATGAATGAAAAAATGGTGTTCCATTTAAAAAAAGAACTTAACATCAAGAGCCACTCTTTTATTTTATAGTTAGTGCAAAAATTTATGGACTAGGAGAGCATTTTTATAGAAATCTAATACCTGATTTTAAAATGAATTTGTTCTATATTTCTGTAAAGTTTATTTAATTAATTAATTAAATTAAGTTAATTTATTTAATGCCTACAAAATAGCTTTATTGTTACTTTCTTTAAGAGCAAATAGTCTGATAAAGCTATCCAAATTCATCATTATGCTTTAGAAACTGATATATTTCGTTAAAGTGCCTTATAGTTGTAGATAGGACTGATTAATAAAACGTTTTTAAAGGCTTCGAATCAAATGTGTTTAAACGTAAAACGGAGCTTTATTACAAGATTCTATAGTTGTTGTGCTCACACCAATTTGCATATTGCGACATTTTTGCGTTCAGAATCACTTTAATAATTGGTTTAATGATGCTTGTAATAAAAAAAATGAAACAAAAAAAGCACTTTAAATCAGCAATTTTATATTATGCGACATTCCTATATAGCTTATATTCAGTCTACCCGAAAGCTGTAAAATGTCGGGTGGTCAAATTTCTAATTGGAAAAAACGTAAACATAGTGGTAATTTCAGAAAAAGAGCGAAAGTTATCAACTAATTTTAAATTCATCTCAAGATACTGTAAATGAAAATGCTGCGACATCAGCATCCACTGCTAAGTTGAAATCTATCATCACGGACTTAGAACATCGAAATGTAAATTCTAGTTCTTCTAAAAGCCAACTGGAGCTTGGAACTTATGATAAAAGAGGTGCCAATATAAAACCTGTCGATTCAAGTGACGAAGAAGATATCACAGTAAAAACCAGTAAAAATATTAAGGCCAATCAATGTATCCGACTAAGGACGACTTCCTGTAATATTAGTTATTTTGCATTAAGGGAGCTTATATATATATATATATATATATATATATATATATATATATATATATATATATATATATATATATATATATATATATATATATATATATATATATTCACGTATTGATTCACGGATGGAAAAATGTGATGACACTATATTCCGGGATATCACCCGTTCGCTTGTTGAACTCCGACTGGAATCCTGCAGACGTTTCGCCAAAATCTCACTTGGCATCTTCAATGCTCGCGCTCCGAAAACACTTCGAACACTTCACTATATATATATATATATATATATATATATATATATATATATATATATATATATATATATATATATATATATATATATATATATATATATATATATATATATATATATATATATATATATATATATATATATATATATATATATATATATATATATATATATATATATATATATATATATATATATATATATATATATATATATATATATATATATATATATATATATATATATGTATATATATATATATATATATATATATATATATATATATATATATATATATATATATATATATATATATATATATATATATATATATATATATATATATATATATATATATATATATATATATATATATATATATATATATATATATATATATATATATATATATATATAGGGTTTTTTACAGCTATCGCTGTCTCCCTTCTCTCAACCTACGCCTCCATCCTTCTCTGTCTTGCCATTCATCTCCGATACCTCTTTTTTCCATAGATTCATCTACTTCATCCCTCCAAGATCTTCTGCGTCTACCCCTTTTCCTTCTACCTATGGGGCTCCATTCTGTTATCTTGTGTATCCACCTATTTCTGTCCGTTCTTCTTACAGGCCCATACCATACCAATCTCTTTTCTTCAATCAATGTTAATGTATCTTTCTTGACACCCATTCGCTGCCTGATCTCCTCGTTTCTTACTTTGTCTATTCTCGAAATTCTACAACTTGTCCTCCAGTATTCCATTTCAGTGGCCTGTATTTTACTTTTGTATTTTTTGTTGATCACCCAGTTTTCCGCGCCGTATGTCATTACGCTCTGTACTATGGTGTTAAATATATGTGATTTGGTGTGTCGAGTGATGTGTCTATCCCAGAGTATTGGATTTAGTTGTCTGATACAGTTTCGCGTCTGGCCTAGTCTACTGTTCATTTCTTCCTCTGTTGTCCCTTTTCGAGATATTATGAAAACTAAGTATTTGAAATTTTTGGTTCTCTTTATTTGATGATTTTCATCGACTTGTAGGTAGTTTTCTCCATCTTCTGTTGTTGCCAGGTATTCCGTTTTCGAAAAATTTATTTCCATTCCATTTTTTTCATATTCTTCCTTCAGTTTTCGTTCAGCTTTTAACTTTTTTTAATTACAGAATTCGTAATCTTCTTCCAGTAGATCCAAGAAGAAGAAATGAAATGAGTAATGGATACCACTGGCATTTCGGGTTGAGAATTAATTTACTGCGATTAGTAGAAAACGTGTCAACGTCTTTGAATTCAATATCAGTTAATCCACATATGAATGACCTACCTATTCCATTTCCAATGTTCCAATGTTCATAAAACCAAGCAACCCACCGACCTTGAACTAAATCTTCGAGCCTTTGTAGGTGAAAGAACTGCTAGAAAATAGACTACGCATCTTCATATAACTGTAAAGATACGTTTCGTATAAATGTGACTCCCCGTAAGGGATTTTATTAATTGTGAATTATATTTTCATGTAGCCCAAATCCTTACGAATCTATATAGCTATAGATACTCTATGTAGTGAGTTCTCAACCAGGGATTGATCGTAGCAGTGAGCATTAAGTTCGGTTTAAGTGTGGTGTAAAAATTACGATTATAAACTTTACACGAACCAAAACTAACCAAAACAAATGGCTATAATATTTTGGCAATATTGTAGTTGCTGAAATAGGTGTGTAAATAGAGAAATAACTTTGTTTTCAGGACGATTTTTATATAGGTAAATTATATATCAAAATTGTAGGTATGCCGTTAGGGATAAAAATGATTTAATTCAAATCTTGATCGAAATGAACTTCATATTTGAGGCAAGCATCTTGTCAAAAATATGAAAAATCACATTAATATCAACAAAGTCTTAAAAGTTTGACTTGTTACATCGGATTTAGCAATTTTATTAGAAATAAATAATTTTTTTAAATAATATTTTTTTTTTCAATTTTGTAAATATGGGCAAAAATGGTAGCGCTTTAAAATTAAGATACATGTATATATGGATAATGTCAGTAAAGTTGACCTGGTAAGAGTATTTTAAAAGCAGCGCCGTCAGTACCAGTCAGATGATCTGCACGATCCCCACACATAACATCCCTTGATTTAACTGTATGGGATCAGCTCAAAAATGAGGTATACAGTAGTTGCTATCCTTTTACCTACGTTCTGAAAATTTTAACATATAATAAGGAGAATATTGTGATTTATCTAAAATTATCATTTTCCTTTCTCTCCCTGTATCTATCGTAAGGGTATCGATTTAAAATAAAACAAAGCTAGATTATCTATCGGTATATACATACAAATATAAACCATATTAAACCATATTAAACTGGACACCTTGTATAATTGTGTTAAAAGGGACACCAAGAAGTCAGAACATTCTTCTATATGGAAAATTATTTAAATTTAGAAATCAATTGAGTTTAAGTTTGAAAAAGAAATGTTATCTATTATATTATCTAAAATACTACTAAAATACGAGTTAAAATTAAGTACATTCAAAATTTATTAGTCTCCCCGAATCCTTGCTTTTATTATTTGAGCGG